TATATCCAGGTATTATCTAGTATCTACTTCTGATTTGTTTCTTCATTATACTTCTTTATACTGACTCCAGTTTCTTTTTCACAAAAAGTTTATTGACTGTGAAACATTATATATCACTTGAGCATATTTTGGTCACATGCAGAAGGTACAAAGAAGGGAGCCTTTGGTTGTTTGACTATACAGCTTTTAAGTTACCAGGAAGTTCTTTTCCACTTTAGGATCTAGAGGCTGCCTAAAGGCTTAATGAGCAGGTATGATTTTTATTAATAATTTTTACATTTCAATTAACTTCATAGTAGGTAAAATTCCAAAGTGACCTTGGGATTCTTCTTTCCTTCTAGATCAGTTAATGATCTAATTGTATAGAAAAGGGTAGCTGATTAAATTTCCAATCCCAATGTAAGTGAGAGAGAAGAGGGACAGGGCAGGAGAGGATGGCACTCAGGCCCCTTAGACAGCATTTCTTTAACAAAAGGTACTAGAAAGGAACATATTACCTCTTAGTGCAAAGGGATAGGTATGTCTTGGGAGGATTCAACTCTTCCCCTTCTAGAAAGGAGACAAGAGGAAAATAAAGAAAGGATAACCAGCTAGCCAATTTTTCTCTCCACAGTGACACCTGCAGGTTACATGGAAAACATGAACTGAAGTCAGCAGGAGGGTGGCAGTGGGGGGAGGGAGGGATTCACACACACATACACACATATGTGTATAAATGCATATATACACATGCATATATTATACATACATACAATAACTATAACAATGTATCTGGAAAGCAGAATAAAACAAAATGTATAATTATACTGCCCAAGTCTGACCTGGAGAAGAGTTGCAAAAATTCACTCCGTTCCCATTGTTACAAAGATGGAAAATGACCAGGTGCATTTGATGCATTAGTTGGTTTTGCTGAATTTTCCCCTGTATTTTCTACATATTTTTCTTTCTATATTTTATTCAATTTTTGGAATTTTTTTCTTTATTTCTTAATCTTTGTTACAAGGAAAGGTTCTCTGGGTAGGGCGGGGTATATGCTCCATCTCTTGGCTCCAGGCATTTTCCCTGGCTGTTCCCCACACCTGGAGAACTCTCCCTCCTCATCTTTGCCTACTGCCTTCTCTGGCTTCTTTTAAATCCCAACTAAACTCCCATCTTCTACAGGAATCTTTTCCCAACCCTACTTAATTCTAGTGTCTTCCCTCTCTTTGGACATATTTGTTTGCTTGTTGTCTACCCCATTAGACTGTTTGCTCCTTGAGGGTAAGGACTATTTTGTCCCTTTTTTGGTATCCTCAGTGCTTATCACAGTGTCTAACACATAATTGGTGCTTAATAAATGTTGATTGATTTCAGAAACAAGAAGTATAAATAAAACATTAAAAGAAAAATGAAAATAAATGCCATTTGATACTGACATGACTAAATCAAGTTATAACTGGGACTCATTTTCTTCATCTATAAAATAAGAGGATTGGCCTAGAAGTGTTCTGAGGTCTCTTCTAGCTCTGACTCTAGGTCTTATGATCATGCAATATCCTCATCTTCCTCAATTTATTATTCTGTCCCAGGGATTGGGATGGTATTGGTTTGAGCAACAAATGAATAATAATAGATGATTAGTGTCTTACTCCTCTCCCTCATCAAGGAAAAGACCCAACATTGTATTAAAATCATCAAAACAGACAAAACCATGGGATGGGTGGAGGGAAATAAGACCTTCAATTCTTTTGCCCTAAACAGAGAATTCAAGCTGAGCCATTTTGTGTAGGTGACATGAGAGACATATTAGCAGCTGTTTTGCCCCTCTCTCACCCATTTTTTTTCCCCCTTGAGACTAAGAATGTTGAGCTGAGTGGAGAAGTGAGATGTGACCAGGAGCTAAGGCCCAGAAAAAATAGCCAGTGGGGAGGTGTCTGGATTATTTAGTTTATTTATTTATTATTAGAAGCTAGGAAGCTTCTAAAAACCTCATTGACTGGTGAAAAGACTGGGAAATGAATTCACTGTTTTACCCTTCCTGTGATGCTTTTCACTGTTCAGGACCCCAAGCAGTGCCCTGGATTCCAGCTCTGATTCCCATATCCCTTTTCCATAGACATACATAAATAACTATGATTTGTAGAAAGATATGGACAAGTACTATCTTGAGAAAAAGTATGCATGACTGAGATACATAACGGTGGAGATGCTACCCATATCAATGAAATCAGAGTTCTAATAAGAATTATGTGAAATCATAGGTATAAATGGTCTTTGTCTACTGGGAAAATCAGGGAAGGCTTCCTGGAGGAGCTGAGTTGCACTTTAAATGATTGAGAGAAATTCAGCAGGTTGGAGGCATAGGAACAAAGCCTGAGGAAAAAGAAGAAGATGTAAAAAAATGTCAATTTTCTCAGAGTTACTGCCTTTTTAAAATAGGGAATCTCAGAGAATAAAAGAACTCTAACTTTTCCCCCATATTCCACCAACAAAACGAAACTAAAAGGAGTGCCTAGCATACTAGGGAAGGTTGGGGATGCTGGGAAGCAATTACTCTTAGTCTTCCTCTGATGTGAAAATGAGGGTAGACAAGAAGAGAGCACTTTCATCTTTTTTTAAAATTTATTTTGATTTATCAACAATCACTTCCATATGCTTTTGAGTTTAAAATTTTTCTCCCCCTTCCTCCCCACCACCCTCCCCAAGATGGCACACAATCTGATATAAGCTATACATTTACATTCCTATTGAACATATTTTCACATTAGTGAAGTTGTAAGTAAAAATTACTCAATTATGTTTCGCCTCCCTCAGTCTCTCCCTCCCTTTCCCTTTTCTCACCCTTTAGCCTTACAGCTTCTTCCCTCCCTTCTATCCCCCCTCCCTTTTCTTTCCCCTTTTCCCTCCTACTGCCTATAGGGCAAGTTAGATTTCTATACCTAGAGCTGATTATGTTATTCCCTTCTTGAGCCAAATCTGATGAGAGTAAGGTTCAAACAATGCACACCCACTTCCTTCTTTCCCTCTGCTGTAATAGGATTTTGTGTCTTTTCCTGTAACTTACCCTTGTCTACCTCCTCCTTTCTCAGTACATTTTCTAAAATTGGACTAATCCACTTACTTGGATCTATTTAACCCACTTGATTAGCTTTTTTTTTTTATCATTACATCAGTCAACTTATATCCACCCCCTTTATGTATACTCCTTTAATGTGGTGTAATAACAATACAGTTCTCAAGAGTTGCAAGTGTCATCTTCCCTTGTAGGGATGTAAACAGTCCACCCTTATTGACAACATATTGTATCTTTCTGTCCCATTTACCTTTTTAATGTCTTTCTTGAATCTTGTACTTGAAGATCAAATTTTTTGTTGAGCTCTGGTCTTTTTATCAGGAAAGTTTGGAAGTCCCTATTTCATTGAATATCCATCTCCTCCCTTGAAAAATCATGCTCATTTTTGCGGTAGTTGATCCTTGGCCACAGTCCAAGTTTGCCTTATGGAATATCATGTTCCACACTCTGCAGTCTTTTAATGTAGAAGCTGCAAGGTCCTGTGTAATCCTGACTGTGGTTCCATGATATTTAAATTCTTTCTTTCTGGCTGCTTGCAGCACCTTCTCTTTCATCTGGTAATTTTTGAATTTTGCTTTATATTCCTTGGTATTGTTAATTTGGGATCTCTTTGAGGTGGTGACCACTGTATTTTTTCAAAGGTTATTTTACTTCTGGTTCTAGGACTTCTGGGCAGTTTTCCTTTATGATTTCCTGAAAGATACTGTCCAGGCTCTTTTTTTCATCATGATTTTCAGGTAGTCCAATAATTTTTAAATTGTCTCTCCTGAATCGATTTTCCAGGTCGGTTGTTTTACCAATGAGGTATTTTACATTTTCATCTATTTTTTCATTTTTTTGTTTCTGTTTGACTGATTCTTGTTCTCTCATAGAGTCATTAGTTTCCATTTGTCCAATTCTAGTTTTTAACAGATTGTTTTCTTCTGTTAGTTTTTGTACTTCCTTCTCCAATTGGCCAATTGTATTTTTAAGGGATTTGTTTTCTTCAGTGTACTTTTTTTCCAATTGGCCAATTGCATTTTTTAAGGACTCTTCTACCTCTCCATTAGACTTTTAAAATCCTTCTTGAGCTCTTCTAAGAAGGCTTTTGGGCTTCAGACCAGTTCATATTCCCTTTTGTTGTTGCAGATGTGGGTTTGTTGACAATGTTGTCCTCTTCAGAATTTCTGTCTTGATCTTCACTCTTCTCATAATATGAATCTATGGTACGTTTCTTTTTACTCATGGTGTTTCTTTATTCCCTGGCCTTTAAAGAGATTGAGCTCTCCTGCTGGGGAACAGAGGGCACTGACCCAAGCTTCTTGTGTTGGGAGCCTAGGTCTTGGTCACTGGCTTTGTGTGCTGGGGCCTCTTATGCTGGCAATTGGAGGCTGTAGGTTTCTGGCAGCTTACCTTGTGTTGGGCTGGAATCAGCAAGGCTGGAACTTTCAGGCAATTCTAGGTTGCCTGCTTTTCCTTTCCTTTAGCTTTCTTCAGCTCCTTTTAGATGGGTGCTGCAGGGTATTTATCTGCCTGGGGCACCTTGTAATGCTGCTCCCTCGTTTCTGCTAATGCACTGGGAGATTCCTTTGGTAGAGTGCCGAGGCACCTGGTGGTTTTCTGAGCTGGTTTCCACCAGTTCCCCCACCCTCACTGAGGCACTTGAGGTCCAGGTGTTGGTGTTTGCCTGCTCTACCACCTGGGCTTCAGGATCTCTTCCTGGGGTTCTGACAGCTTACCTGGTGTTGGGTTGGAATCAGCAAGGCTAGGGCTTTATGAAGACTTTAGGTTGCTTTCTTCAGCTCCTTTCAGATGAGTGCTGCAGGGTGCTTATCTGCCTTGGGTCCTTTGTAGTACTGCTTCCCTTATTTTTGCTGAGGCACTGGGAGACCTGTTTGCTGGGCTGCTGCACTGCTGTTTCCCGTCCTTCTAGTTCAGCTGTTCCAGGGTTTTTTTTTTTTTCTGGGGTGATATTTTCTGAGTTTTCAGATGTTGATGGGGGGGTGAGAGCGACTACCTTTTTACTCCGCCTTTACTTCCGCTTTCATCTTTTTAATGTTACAGAGAAAATAAGCCTTCAGGACCAGGGGCCACTTTCTTCAAGGGGCTCTTTCTGTGTTTCACCTGAGTTCAGTCACTGGGAAAAGCCACTCCTCTCTACCCTCCACCTTGTGCACATTTATACATAAGGCTCACAGGTGTTGAGTGCTTTCTGGAGCAAAATTACATTTGGGGAGAGGAACTCAGAATTCCAAATCCACAGAAAGGCCTCTGACTTGTACCTTCAACCAGTCTTCTGCATTACGCTAAGAACAAACTTTTCTTAATCCATTTCAGAGATGTTCGATTCTTTGATTTTTTTTTTATGATGAGCCTCATTTCAGCAAATAAGGCAAATGCCATTTAGATTTCACTTTGGAATTCATTATGTAAATTACCTTTCTAAAGGCATTTTTGCTTCGGATAACATTCAGATTTGGGTTGCATTCCCCTAATAAATGCTACAATGATGGGATGGTGAGAGAAGACGTCCTAGGAGTACGCCAGTTAGCAGATTAATCTACAAAATGATTAAGAATTAAAAGGAAAATGAGTTTGGGGCCTTTCATGCCCAAATAGATACAAAATTCTCAGTTCAGTGGAAAGATCAATGTTTGCCTACCTTTTTTAGAGTTATTAAATTATATGTATATTACATATATGCATACATATATGTGTATATATGTATATGTACACATCTATCTATATCTAATCATCTATCTCCATCTCTGTTTTTATGTATCATACACACACATATGCATAGTGACAGTACCCCAGAGATTAATACGTCTGTTTTCTTTGAGTTACCTTATGAGGCAGGTGCACTGGACAAAAAGTAAACCTGTTTGTTGAAAGGAGCCAACTGGGAGCCTTCAGTGAGCCAAAGTCCCTGAAGCCTTTGCTGGTATTCTCTGGCTGATCTTGCTGATCTGTGCATCTCAAACTGGCTTAAACCAGCCTTGTGGTCAACTGTTCCTGCTGAACATTCTGCTTCTGTGTCCCACCTGTTCTTGGAAAGGATTGTCTACTCTCCACCCTAACCCTTTCCCCAACTTCCCCTTTGTGGTTTTCAAGCATAAATTGCCCCTGCCTCCCTAGGCTGTAGCCTTTCTTGTACCTTGTACTTGGGTGCCTCGGCACTAGTGTCTAATTTTTCTTCTAATAGAACCTTTCTGTTTTCAATTCAACTTGGATTTTTTTGTATATGAGGAGTGGGCTTCACCCAGTTGACAATCTATATAGTAAGCTTCACACAGATATTGTGCCATTGGCTGTAATGGCATGCATTGGAATTAAAATAATGGACATTTGTATTTTGTTTTAAAGTTTGCCAAGTGTTTACATATTTTATTTCATTGGAGTGATTATGGCCCATGATATTGGTTTGAGCTTACTCTTGGTGAAAAATCCAATCTTAGACTCTTGAAGTCATGGCCTAAATGACCAAAGGACTTTCTTTATTAGCAACTATGGAGAAGGAAAAAAAAATCCACTGATATTTGAGCAGGATTGGATTAAATGTATGTCAACTTTTGCTTGGGTTCATGAAAAGAAAATACGGTGTCTGGAAAGGGAACTGAGTCCAGAGAGGATCTCTAGTTTCAATTAAACTACTGATTATGGGCCATTCATTAAAAAAAAATTACTTCTCTCTGTGCCTTAATTTCCCCAGCTGTGAAATGGTTTTAGGGGACATGAAAACTGTCTTCATGTATTTGAAGGATGGTCCTATGAAAGGGAGACTAAACTTGCTTGACTCTGGGAAGTAAGAGGCAAAATTTGCAGAGCAGCAGATTTAGGATAAACTTAAGGAAAAACTTCCTAACAATTAAGAACTGTTCAAATGTGCCCCTCACTAGAGGTTCTCAAGCAAATGAATCACAAACAAACTGGACAGCTTTTAAAATTACATGGTGAATTTATTTTACATACTTCAGGACAGCAGATTCTACATGATGGAGTTTTATAGTCTCATGTACAGTCCTCCCTTGTAAATGCATATAAAATGTTCCTTTACTTGGTATTTGTTAAGTTCAGGATAAAAACAAAATGAAATTATTTTTAAAGAAATGTTGAGTGATTCCTCTTTTGTATTTGAACAGTTTTATGGTTCAAAGAAGGTTGAAAAAGAACTTTTGCTCATTGAAAACTCATACAATGTAAGAATAAAGACCCATAGCTGTCTGAGATACAGATACTTAAACTGGACCTCTTTTCAGATTAGGAAGTGGTTGGAGCTGCAGAGCATTATGGTTCTTCACCTCATTTGCATATAACTGTTTTAAGGCTTAAGAGGCTCACAAAATGAACAATCGTATGGCTATTTATAGAGTATCAGATGATTAAATAAGGATTGTTGATTTCCCAGGGGAGATTTGGTGAGTTTTTGCATCATATGTGAAAGTTGAACCTTTGATTACAAAGAGGCTTTAACTTAAGCCACTGAAAATAGCATCGAAGAACCTGGCAAATGAAGATGAAGATTCAAGAAACAGCAGGGAGTAAAAGGCCAGAATTGCTTGATCTGTGTGAAGAAGACACATGTAGTGCAGTGAGCTAAAGAAGGCTTCTGCTAGGAGATTCCTGATTGTCTGAAAAGAGGCTGGAACTCATTGGATGAGAGCTTCTGTTTAGTTATTGCCCTTTGGCACCACTTAGAATTCTAGAGAGGTAAAGACTCAGATGGACATGTTGCTGTTTCCACTTCTAGTTTGAAGGGGAAAAGCAGAGGGGAAATGCAGGCTTTGCATTTGCTTTGCTGAGAGATTCATATGCTACAAACTGACTGTTCGACATTCATCACATTCTGACAATTGAAGATCTGGATGGCTTGGTCTGCCTCGCTCAGAGGCTTATCCTGAGCTACTTTGCTATGAGCTGTTTTTGACTCAGCATGCTGGTGAGGGAATAATTATCTGGGATTTTCTGTATAGCCCAGAGAGAGCCAGCCTGGTGAATATAGTTGTCTGGTTTAAAAGGAACCACTAGCTAAATTAACTTTTTCAACACATTTTTTATGGGTGATTATAAGCTAAAAGAGTTTGTAAATTCTCTGTCATTTTGAGAGTAAAACAAAAGTGGACTTACCTAGTTGGAGAGCAGTGACACTCAAAGAAGGAGCAGTTACAGTTTGCTTTGTATGGACAGATGTTCTTATTTTTTTATTTTATTTTATTTTATTTTTAGGCAATTGGGGTTAAGTGACTTGGCCAGGGTCATCCAGCTAGTGTCAAGTGTTTGGTCTGAGGTCAGATTTGAACTCAGGTCCTCCTGACTTCAGGGCCAGTGCTCTATTCACTGGGCCACCAATTTGGTCCTTGGACAGATGTTCTTAAATGGACAAATGATATCAAGGCCTTCAATCCAGAATTGTGAATTGCTGGGAGCACATGGGTTTTTCTCACTCATATATTTCCCTGCCAGATTTCTTTTAAGTGTGTGCCCACTCACTCTCTCAGGTATTGAGTGGGAAATTGTGACGTAATTTCTGTTTGGTGAGCATTAGGAATATGTTAACCCTATCACAAGGACACTCCTAAGATCCTGAGATAGTGTGAGTGTAACCATATGGTGGTGGTCCTGCTCTGGGGATGGACACCTGCCAGTGTGAGGGCAGATTGGAGTGAGTCAGCACAGAGTATTTGTACACATGCCCCATGTGAGAGGTGTGAGGTGCTACAGTATGGGTGGACACCCCCAACACATGTTATGCTAGTATTAATGATGCTATAGATGTACTTAGAACACTACTGTTCCTTGTAAAGTTTGGGAACTCTCTTTTGAGCATGTCATGGAGCATGGAGTAGAGGAACAAGAACATGTATTCTACCATAATGAGACATATATACAAAGATAAGATGAAGTTACATTTATGTAGTGTAACTTTTTATGTATGCAGTAGAAAGAGAACTAGTTCTATGTCCTAATCTTTGTTCTATCATAATTGGCTCTGGGCAAATCATGTGATTTATCTTTTAATCTCCTGGTTTCTTCATTGGTCAAATGGGATAACAATATCTGTCCTATCTACCTTATAAGTAGGTGGGTCATAATGACTTAATGAAATAATATGTAAAGGTTCTTTGAAAAACACAAAGGGCTATACAAATGTTAGTTATTGTTGTTTTCATTAGCAATAATGCTTTCATGTTTCTCATTTGATCTGTACTACTAAGGCTTATGAAAATTATATTTGGTAAAAATAATTCTGCTAGTCTAAATCCCTTAGTCTTAGGCTATTGTGAAATGGTAGTGGTCATTTTTGTCAGGCTTAAGAGAAAAAATAGTATTTTTTTAAAAAAGTTAAAAAACAAACCAAATACAGGCTAGGTGTGGTAGAACATGCCTGTTATCCCTACTATAGGAGAAGCTAGGCGGTGCAATAGATAGAACACTGGATTTGGATTTAGGAAGATCTGAATTAAAACATGAGCTCAGATACTTACTAGCTGTATGACCCTGGGCAAGTCACTTGACCCCTATTTGCCTCAGTTCCATATGAGGACACACTGGAGAAAGGAATGGCAAAACACTCCAGTATCTTTGCCAAGAAAACCCCATGGAAATAATCCATGGGGTCATGAACAGCGGAACAGAACTGAATGAATGGCCAAACGACAATGAGGCTGGTGGATCATTTACATTTGGAAGTTCTGAGCTGAGATAGGTTTAGAGCCAATTGTGTGTCCACACTAAGTTCAGCACTAATATGCTGAGTCTTTGGGAGTGCCACTAGACTGCCTAAGAAAGCTCAAACCAGAGCAGGTCAGAAACACAGCAGGTCAAAATTCCTGTGCTAATCAGTCCTGAGTGGTTGCTGTTCTTCCAGCATGGATAAGAGGGAGACTGAGGCTCAAAAAAAAAAAATTCACTTCTGCCTAGGCTTAATTCTGATTGTGCAGCCTTTCAAAGCCCACCAAAAGATTAAAAGGGGCTAAGACAAGAAAGAAATGACAAGCTGGGAATTAACACCTTCTACTCATTTTTTCCAGGCCTAGGAACATTTAAAATCAGAAGACCAGGACACCTGAAGACTGCAGGGATTGGGGTTGGGGGAAGACAGCAGAGTCCCATGTGTCTTCTCACCTCAATTTAAAGTTTCTTAAGGGAAAGGAGTAGATTTTTTTTGTCGGGTAGCTGGGTGGTCTAGTGGACCTGGAGTCAGGAAGACTTATCTTCACAAGTTTGAATGTAGTTTCAGATATTTACTAGCTGAGTGACCCTGGGCAAGTCACTTAAGCTGTTTGCCTCAATTTCTTCATCTGTAAAATGAGTTGGAGAAGGAAATGGCAAACAACTCCAGTATCTTTGCCAAGAAAACCCCAAATGGGTTCATGAAGAGTCAGAAACGAGTCAACAACAAAAAAGATTTCTTTGCCTCCTTCTATAGTCACCTGCCATTCTGTCATGCACAAAGTAAAAGAACAGAATTTGTGTATGAGTTGGAAGATGTGCTCTGGCCACATTTCTCTCACTCTCTCTTGCTCTCACATTTACTTTAGCAAGGAATATATTTTCATC